CAGCTTAGGACAACTGACCAGTGGAGAGCGGAGAGTTCCAAATGGCCTGAGGCCACCTTCCTTTCACTGCCCAGGGCCCACAGCACACAGGCAGAGAGAGGCAGGCACAGTTTGCACTGAAGCATCTCAGTTCTGTCCAGTTGTGAAGCCCTCAAGCCATAGACACACCAGTTTGGGGTTATTTTGCCCCTTCTAGTAAAGAGTCAGGAATGGACTGGTATTTCTTTATTGCTTTGCATAGATCTCATTCCTCAGCTTTTTGTCTAGGCCCAGACAGACTCTGATCTTCTCAGAAGTATGTTCTACTCTATCATCTCATCTGGCAAACACTGGGGCACAGAGCACAGGAATCAATGTTGACAAAGATGGTTTGTGGGGTTGCTAATGCTGCAGAAATGACAGGTGAGACGCAGGGCAGCTTTTGCTGGCTATTCTCAACCCTTCCAGACATTCGCAGTGAGGCTGAGGTATTACACCACCTGGCATCAGAAATGCCCTAGGACTCCCTTTCCTGCCACCCTCTGCCAACTTCTGTCAATGCAAACTAATAAGAAATGGAATATATTTTTCAACCTTTTATTCTTGCTAGGGTAGAGATAAAGGCATGCAGACCTTATGGAAGACTGTCTAGATTTGCCAGATTCACCGTGTCCTTCTCTCTGCCTCTGGGCAAGACTGTTTCTAATCCAAGCAGGTGGACCAGCAGAGAAGACTCACTTTCCTGTCTTCATAATCCCTGGAGATCCCTACACCAGGAATAAAGAATCTTAACACATAGTAACAGACACATTATCCTGTGAAATAAACAAAAGCCATGTGGCTACATGGAACATACACCCATCTTTCACAGTATGTTTGATCTTGTCCCAACTTCTCACATTTAATCCAACCCAAACCCAAGAGCTTAGAATGCAGTTTTTAAATTACGGGATGACAAATGGGTCACATGTGCTTTCCTGGCCAGGCTGCTGTCTGCAGTTACTTCCAAGCATAAAGGCACTGTCGTTCTTACTTCTGGAAAGGGAGTTGCACAGATACTTGATTTGGGCCATAAAATCAAGGCATAGAGGCTTGGGTCTATACTGTGACATAATGAGGAGCAGAGTTCACTGCCATCTACATTTGACCAATTCCTAGGTTTAAACCATAAGGAATCCATACAACCCAGAGATGACGGAACTCCCCATGGGCAGCCTGTTGCACCCTTGCCCTTCTTGAAGTACGTCCTGGTTTACAGCACTTACAGCTGCCATAAACCCAGCATACAGAAAGTGAAAAGGGCTCAGAGAAACTCAGGGACCCCCCCAAGCTCAGACATGACAGGGGAGGTCTCCCAGGACCCTCAGGCCCCTAGTTGGGGCCCTTCACTACCTCATGGTGCTGCAGCACAAAGGCAGGTACACCTGGAAAATGTGAACTGTGGGGCTGAGAATGGGCGAGTGTGGGTTGCTTTGTCTGTGCCCTGGGCAGCACCAGCTCCTGCAGAGCCTTCTCAACTCTCTCTGACTGAGAAGGCCCCGTCTTTTCCCAGGCCATCCTGCCCAGAGAGAACGTAACACATAATATAATGACAGTGTACATTGTATGTATAATTCAGATTATATAAATATAGCATATTGTATTAGATTATTAGAAATATATAATATGTATTAGTTATTCTGTTGTTTACAGAGGATAAGGGACTTGCTAATGCCACCCAGCTGTTAAATGCTACTGACATTAGCATTTAATAAACTTGGGAGTCCCTAATGTCCAGGTGATACTTTGAAGCACTCTCCCATTATGTCTCTTAAGAAACAGAAGTAAGTCTAGTCTGGAGTTATGTTTAGATGGAAAACAGTGTTTCCTTCCTTTCTACAATGGGCACAGAAAGCCAACACTATCTCAGCAGGGACTCTCAGCTCCTGCATAAGTAAGTAGACTGATGTGTATGGGGGTGAAAATGTGGGGCAGAGGAAGCCCTGTCTTCTCACTACCCTCTTAATATTCTCCCACCTGCTACAGGGAGGGCTTATAAATATGATTGGCCATATTTATTAGGGGTCAAACACCTAATAGGCTTTAAATTCCATATACGTTTCTACTTTCTGCTCTGTAATGCTAAGCAAGAAAGCCAAGGCCTAGTCTTTCTGAGCAGGCCCCACAAGATGCTCCTGCTATGTCCCAGGCTTGGCAGCCGGCTGGTGGCAAGATTTGGATGCATGATGCAGACTATAAACTGAAGCCCCGAGCAGTTCCTATGCTGATTCCCATTTTACTGTTGGCCCCTTGTGTATTTAGCTCTAGCAGGGAGCTACGAGGAGTGGGGTGGTCGACAAGCCAGGATGTGGCCATTCCTTGGGTTCTGGTTTTGACATTACCTTAGTATGGTCAAAACCTAGGGTGATCACATAATGTATAATCCGTATCAGGAGGACACTTTTCAGAGTGAAAGAGGGCACTAAATTATGCCAGGACAAAAACTCCTAAGTAAATGGGATGTGTGGTTATCTTACAAAGCCATCAAAACCTACCCTGGGTCCTCACCCCTACCTTTATGACATAGCAACTTGAATTTTCAAGTAATAACTAGATAACCTAAGTTCAATAGCAACAGATAATCACAAAAGTTAGCACTGGAATGTTCAAGGTTCAAAAAGAAATGACGGATATAAGGACAAAAGGCAGATCTATTAGAAAGTTCTGCCCATGTGCCCCACTTTGAGTTTCTGTAATACCACGATGCTTTACTTGTATACAGCATTTTATAGTTTACAAAGTACTTTCTGGTGGATGCTCTTCCTTAAGCAGCCTAGGAGGCAGGGAACAGGTCAGCCTCTAACAAACATCAGAGGCAGAATCCGAATTCAGGATCTGGGCTAGCCTAGCATTCTTTCCCCAAACCACACTGTGACCCCTCAGGGCACCTGCCCTGAATGAACTACCAGCTAGTGTTCTGAAGCTAGAATGCCTGGGAAAAAAGGGGTCAATACAAAATGAGGCCAAAAGGAGACAGCAGACCAAATTATCTGTTGCCTCAATTAAAATCATCTGCAAAGTCAGCCATTGGCACTGTACATATATATAACAGGAGTATATATGTTTCCATTTATTTTCAAACCACCCTAAATTAGTTAAAAAACTGCCTATCCCCAACATGATTTTCCAAAGAACTTTTCAAGATTCTAAACATATACGTAAAATAACTGGCAAAGGCTCAAACTCCACCACTGACAACAGTGGTTTTTTATGGGGGGCGGGGGAGCAGCACGTACTCTCGAGGGGGCATTTGGGTTGTGACTCGGGGAGTCCTGCTCCTTCACCTTTACCTCCTCAGTCAATACATAAGACCAGAGGTGACAGGGATGATGGCCGTGACTTTCCGTTTGCATAAGAGCCTACCGCCTGCAGGATTATGGGCTTCTGAGGACTACCTGTGGCTGGCTGATGGTGAACTGCTTGCTGCTCTCCCAGGACCCAGGTGGTGGGAGATGGGCTTGGTGTGTTCATCCAAAACATGATGCCCTTCCTGAAAACAGCATGCTCTGGCCGACGCTCACTGCACACAGACGGTGCCTACAGGAGATGGACTTAGTACACCGCCGATTTAGTCCTTTCTTCCCCTAGCCTGTTAAACGCATTTACTATTCTGGGTATTCAATAATTTAGGGTAAGAGAAGCACAAATAATCCCACCATGCACAACCTAAATCAAAAAGTACCAAAGATCGAAAGGACCAACTTGATTCAAACTTTCCCTGCTTTGACAGAAGGACGTTTCTTAGAGGGGTGTCTCCAAACTGCCAAAGACAAGGGATGCTTATCAGCCCATACTTATTGAACTGACGGACACAGCCAGGAGCATCTGATGAAAATAATGTAGAATTTAAAGAACAAAATCTTCCCCTTGAGTCTATAAGATGTCTCAGTTTTGTCCAAGTCAAAAATACCCACTAGGCTTTAACTATCCAACCAGACAGTAAGATGCAGCATCCTCCATTGGAGCTTCTTTAAAAGGGTACCTGTGTCAAGTCTGACTCAAGTGCGCATGGACGGCCTGTCCCAAGGCCCACAGCAACCCACTGGTCCCTCTCATCAGATGACTGAAGGCTGTCCTGTCATGGAGCTCCACCTTCAGCGGATGCACACAGGGCCTTTCCTTCTCGGCACAGCCCTGAAGAATCCCCTGGCACACAATTAGTATGAGCACCAATCCACAAGGGCAAGGCTTTACCCCTCTGACACCTGCACAAGTGAATCGGTGACCTCATATGGGGATAGTTGAGGACATGGGAAATTGGGAACCACGAAGTTTATGGCACCAAGGAAGGACTCAAAAACTCACAGAAGAACTTGCTATTGTCTTATTTTAGGAAAGGAAATATCCAGAGAGAGGAAAAGAGACTTAGGCAGAGATACGAAAGACTGGGAAACTAAAGAAGACATGAGTATCCAAACTTCCTTGGTGAGACTTGCAAGTAGAGAGTAACGGAATGATAAAATCCCAACTACTGGTGCTGAATTTCTCGGTTGTTTTTGTTTTCTTTGGGGTTCACTGGTATGTCAGAGGCTGGGCCAAAAGGACATCTTTTCTCCATGAACTCACCACCGGAACTCACTGCCTACAGCAGCTACGCAGGGAAACTGAGCTCCCAGCCTGCTTAGGGAAACCCACCTAGATACACAGCCAAAGCAGTGCGGCAACTAAAGGGCTTACACTGAGAACCAAGTCAGCCCTCAGCCAGGATTTTCCCAACCCACCTTTCTGTTGGTAAAAAACCAGTGCCAGGTTTGATGAGCTCTGACTGCCGCTGGAGGACCAGACAATGGACTGCACCCTCCTGGGAGGCCTGAGAAACTCACCAACAACATGCCATAGTTTTGGATGAGAACTTCAGGATGGCTGCAGTCCTCCCCCATACACCAGGTCAGGATGAAATCTATTTTCCAGAAACTCCAAAGCACAGGCATAATATGCTTTGTGGTGACATCAGTAAGACCGAAAAACAAACAATGCACCAATCAGAAATAAACGATGACTTTTTATAAACTTATATGGGGTCTAAATTATCCCTTATATACATGCAGATACTCATTCCACAGAGACTTAGGAGATTCAATTCTCATACAATCGGCAGGGATCGCCTCCAGAGCCTCCGGGTCCCCCTGAACGGCCTCCTCCAGGTGGTTCTGTATAGAACTCCCAGCATGAAAGCAGTGGCGACTCTTAGATTCCCCACACATCCGTGACCTATATCAAGTCCACCTGAACAAGAACAACATATTTAGAGAGGAATCAGGCCAACTCTAGACCACTGCATCTCTGTTAAGAGAGTTTCATGTCAAGGGCTCTCTTCACTGGTGGCATGCATGGACTTGCACACTTACTGTTAACTATTTTAGGAGTTAAATACCAAGTATGTCCTCATTATAGTACTGAGAATTTCTCCATGAAAAGGCTGCAAGTTTTTACTAGACAGCTGTCACGTGCGGCTTAGCAGCAGGAAGTGTGGAAGATGGCTGCAAAACACTGCGGCCGAGACTCCCAGTGCCTCCCAGGTGTCCAGCCACAGTGTGATGAGGTCCAGAAATCCCCAAATGCCCACCAGTCTATTTTGTTTACATTAAGCTAATGGAGAACATTAAAGAATTAGGTTTTTTTAAAGGCTATTTTTGTCAACCCACACAAATTGCAGGTTGTATTGCTTATTTTGGTTGAGAGCAATTTCAGTAAATTATGACATTTTGCCACTAAAGGAATAGCCTCACCGGCTCCTTTTTAGTCCTTCAAAGGAGAGGATTAAACTGAATGAACTGAAACCACAGAGCACAGGAATTCCCATTATGAAATTACCTATCTGGTTAAATTTATATAATGGCAATAAATAATAACATAGGGAACTTCTGGTGTGTGAGAAATTAAAACACAAATAAGAAACAAGTCTATGATAAGCAGCCTCTGAGACTATATTTACAGTTCATGTGAATTCAATCATTAGAACACCTGGTATATATTAAAAATACTTACTAAATCATCAATGTCACCACCTTCTTCAAATACAGCTGCTGCATCTTCATTTGGATTATCTTTAGGGGCCAGAAACTGTGAATACAAAGTCAGGCACAAAACCAAATGACATTTTTGCCTCTTTTGACGGAGGGAACAGACTGCTAGTGTTGCCACAGTCAAGATGACTTGCTTTAGCAAAGCCTCACGGCAAATGGCCTCAAGGAAACACCACCCTGACGGACTCCCCTCCACTGGGCTCTGGGTGACGGCACCAACTCTGAGGGTGAATGGTTCATGCTAACTAGGCACCAGAAGCTCTTGCGAAGAGGCAGGAAATGAAGTGGCTCAAGCCAAGGCAGTGACCATGTGGAAGGTGCCATGTCAGGCACTGAGGACGCCCGATATCCCCATTTTGGCTTCCACAAGGGCTGTATAAGCTCATTAGGGTTGAGAAAAATAACCAAACTTCCCAAAGAGGTATGTCCTGGTCTCTTTTGAAGGGAGCATAAAAATCAAGTGTGTAGATTTAAAGCTCATAACCACCTATTCCTGAGCTCCATTTAGGATAAAAGAGGTAAAAGGAAGGGCTTCTTTGTAAATGACCTGAAACACAAAAATAGGTGAGCTTGGGAGGTTGTTCAATTTCTTGTCTGCAAATCCTTCAATTTGTGTTAGAAATCATTTGAAAACTACACTTACCATGGAGAGCATTTAGTAATGTATATAATTATTGAATCACTATGCCATACATCTGAAATCAATATAATATAGTAGTATATCAACTAATTTCAATAAAAAAAAGAAAAATCATTTAAGAACAGTGAAGTGGAAGAGGAAACTTCTAGCATACGCTTCAGCATCAGTATGCTAGACCTGGAGCTTCTACAAAGCAGATACATAGAAAAGCAAAGGCCTTGAATTGAAGACAATAAGGCTCTAGGAATGAAACTCAAATTTTTAAAGAGTAGTGAGTGCCTTTGAAAATTATTCGAATACCCCTGCTCTCCATCTTGTCCCGCTAAGAGAGAGCAGTCCAGACTTCCTCCAAGGCATATGGTACCTGCATCTAAGAGCTAGGTTTTATCAACCACTTAGCTGTCCTAACAGCACAAGGCGATCTTTTGGTATCCTAAGTACTTAAAATGGCAGCAGGGCCAAGCCTGAAGGAGTGTTTTCAAGAGAGGTGGGGGTGGGGCAGCACTCCCTGGGTCAGTGTGCACGGAGCAAGTGTGGGCTAAGTGATGGTGATTTTCATTCCTCTCTCTCCTGCTCATTATCATTAACTCCCACATGATTTTCCCTACATCAGGAATATATAGCAAAGGATAACACTTACCCAAATGGGGTGAGGAGAATAAAAGTAGAGCTGTGTTTTGCCATAAACCTCTGTGGCACCATAAGCAACCAGCACTTTCCAAACACAAACTCCCTGGGCTCCATGGCTCTGTAGTCTACTACATCTTTTATCACCCCTTAGCAGCCTGCTACATGGCAAGTACTTACTGATGAAGCACAGACTCTAGCAGCTCCAAACCCCATTCCCTCCTCACCTGCAAAGGCCCTTTCACACTCCAAGTACAGGATAGATTAGGAAAGGACTACCTGCACAGCATGACCATGGTACTTAAACACAACTGGCACACCCCTGAGATGAGGCCAAGTTCCTGGGAACAGAGGAGTGGCTGCAAACAAACCCATTTCGGCAAGTGCTAAACTCTGCAACTGCTTTTCCTGATAGATCTGCCTCACGTCCTGGGTAAGCAAATTACGGCTAAAATCTGGGCTGCTGTCCATTATGCTTCCCAAAGCCCAGGGCAAAGCTGACCTTTTACATATATCACTCATCATCATCAGAGGTTTTAGATGCAAGTAATTTCCAGGCTGCGCTGTGTGACAAGGAAGCTAGAGACAGAGCAGAGAATTCAGTGATTGGCCTGCTTTCCTGATAGAAGTCACTGGTGCTCTGAGCACAGAAGAGAGGAGGAGTCAGCTCACATCTCTTCTGTGCTCTTCCTTCTGTGATATGTTGAAAAAGTAAAGGATAAATAGAAAGGACACCTACATGACATATCCCTCCTTCCTCAAGCCACCATCATTTACTTGGGGTTACCAAGAAAGAGCCTCCTGTCTTGCCAATAGGTTTCAGCCCTGAATAAGTTCACTATGGATTCAACAAGACCAAAGAAACAACAGTAGAACGTTCTTGGGGTGAAAGGGTTTATACACAACTTTATTCCCAAGGTGGACAGTCGGTCCGTCACTAGAATACCGTCCACTCAGAGTGAGTCAGCATGCTGCAAGCCAGTCTCTGCCTTGGGCCTCTCTGCCCCCACAGCAATTTCAGTCTCTGTCCTTGGCGCTTCCACCACTCTAGCCTCTGCTCTGCTCTCCTGCAGCCTCGCAGCTGTGCCACCATGCAGCCCAGAGCACTGGGCAGAGCTCTTTATATAGAATCAATAACGACCTATTGCCCACAAGTGTGTAGTGAGCTAGCCAACCAGGGCCAGGTGAGAATCCTGGCTACAGGAACCTTCACTTTATCCACACCTCCTTACTTGGAGATCTTTATGAAATGAATAAACTACCACTTTCCAAGTGCACTGAAATACAATCCTGGCCACAAGCAGAGAAATGGAGTCAATAACCTCTGTATAGAAACTTGCAGCCAAATCCTTCCGTAAGACTAAAAAACTAACACGCTTGTGCCCGGACCCTTATCAGTCCCCAAACTAAAAACACACAGTTCCTATCAGGTGAATCCAAAGAAGCGTCCATGATGCAGATGTATAAAAAATCAGGAAGAACCAAGGTTTGTTCACAGGTATTTTGTCTAAAATGACACACATCTGGGTTTAATACCAGTCATAGCTTAGTTCACACTATGAAGGTGATACAGCACAGAAAAGCCTGCAGCCTAGTGTGGGAGAACAGAACCATGACCTTAGCTCTGTCAGTTCCTCAGTAACCTGCACAAGCTGCTTGACTTTTCTATAGCTAATTTTCCTCAAAAATCAAATGGGATGACTACTACTTACCCTGCTTATTTCATAGGCTTGTAGTGAGTCTTAGAGTAAATAAAGTAAGCAAAAATGCTCTGTGGTAATACAGGTTTTATATTCCAATCCCAGCAATATATATGATATATATCCACCAAATGTATATACAAGAATATCCATTGCATTTTTAATCACAACTATCAAAGTTTGGAAGCAATCAAATGCCCATCATCACGAGATATAGCTGAATCATTGCAGTATAACCATAAAGTGGAATACTACATAGCTATAATAATAAGGAATGAACTACTCTAACATCATGAATGAATCACAAAAGGTATGATTCTAACTATAGAACATATATAGAACATATAAGAACAGGCAAAGCTACTCTCAAGTGAAAGATGTCAGAATAGTGGTTACCTAAAGGGACAGGGGGTTTCTGACTGGGAAGGTGTGGGGAAAATGGAAGTTCCTACGGCCAGGATCCTCACTGACCCTAAGCTACTCGATTATGTAACTGGCCTACTGCTAGGCTAATACTTCCACACCCTAGGCAATAAGCTATTATTGACTGAGTCACTACATAAAGAGCTCTGCCAGTGCTCTGGGAGGAGGCCTAGATGGAGGATTACAGACCTGCAGACTGCTGGATGCAGATGTAATTCTAGTGCTCAACCTATCACCGGGAGAACAAGCTGGGTCATAAACCCCTTTACCTTAGGAATGTTCCATTGTCATTCCTCAGTCTCACTGAATCCATAGTGAACTTGCCCGGGGCTGAAACCCACTGGCAAGACAGAAGGGAAGCAGGAAGCCTGCTGGGGTGATGCAAACATTCTGTATTGATATGGGTGGTGGGTACCCAGATATATGAATATGTAAGAATTCATCAAGCTGCACATTAACGATTTGTGGATTTACTGTATGCATGTTCCACTTGAATAAAAATTTAAAAATTTTATCTTGAAAGTATCAAGCTCTAAACAAACATAAGGTAACACTGTGATATTTTGCTTATTGTTTTTCTTGTACTGGCATAAAGAACAACTACACCAGAGATTTAAGGCAGAAAAGGAAAGTGGAAAAGAGCAAAGGAAAATATCATGGGGTCCAACAGGGGCCAGCAGTTAGAGAAAACCATTCTCAAGAAATAATTATCTTAAATTTACTGTATAATCTTTCACAAGGCTTTGGAGATCTGTTAGATGCACACAGAACAGTGGGTATACTCTTAGGAGAGGGAACGTGAGCATCTTTTCTTTATGTGGATATGGCTGGTGGCATTCTAAGGTGGAGGCATGGAGAGGTGGCGCCATGGCGTGGTGGAAAGATGACTATAGGAGCCCAGGGGTGTGGATTCTAGTTGATTCTGCAAGCCACAAACTTGCTGTGAGACACTGAGCAAGTCAACTTCACCTTTCCAGACTGTGTCTGTAAAATGACCACATCACTAAGCTCTGAGCATCTATGATGCTAAGGTGGGAATCAGTAAATGTCAACAATAGAGAAGGCTAGGTAAGGGCAGCTACAAGGAAAACACTTGCAAAGAAGATGATTTTTTTTTCCATAGAGCTTGTATCAAATGACTATTTAGACATAACTCAGCCTCCCAGAATCCTATGAGAAACAATACTCCAAAGTCCTGTGGATAAATCCTGTCCTCTCTGTGCTCTTAATATGGAGTAAAAAGAATGGAGGACTGGGGTCAGTTCTAGAACGGGAGTTTGGGCACAAGACTTACTACAAGATCTCAGACACCTCTCTTCACTTTTCAGGGCCCTACATTTCTTTACCTATAAAATAAGGAGTTTGGACTAGATCAGTATATGTTCATGTTCTGTTCTCTGAGGTCCCAAGGGTTCCTCCATCTCCCCTGTGCACAGGTAATCCCCATCTGCTACTCCTACTGCCCATCAACTGAGGGGCATAACCTTTCTTGTTTTATTTATTAGGCTCCCCTGAAAGCTTTCAGTCTGAAAAATAAAAACTTAGGTAGGAGATCACCAGAATTATTTCTGAGTAAAACTCTATACAATTTAAGATGATCTCCTCTGTCTTATTAGTTAAGAAGCTGGCTTGTTTAAATTCTTCTGAACAGCATCATTATCAATACTTTGGACCAGATAATTCTTTGTTGTGGGGCTGTCCTTGGACCACAGGATGCTGCCTAACTTCCCTGGCCTCTCCCCACTGTGGGTCAATAGCAGGCCCCTTGTAACCAGTGAAGGTTCCTGACAATGCCAAATGTCTCTTGGGGAGCAAAATCACTCCTGGTTAAGGACCACTGTTCTAACCCTAACACAGGTTAGCAAGAAGCAGCTCTAGAGAAAAAAAGAGGGGCAAAAGGACTGGATCCTTCCTGATAAAGAAGATACACTTCAAATGAAGAATCAGCCTATCTGCCTATCTTGACCTTTCTGTAAGTCCGGGTCTTGCTGACTGTGGCCTGGGGCAAAAACTTCTGGAGGCTCCTGGAATATGAAAGGATAGCCATGCCACCTATCTACCAGAGAACCATGCCTCAAGAATGAACTGATGGGGGGAGGGCCCGCAAGAGCTACACAAAGACTATTCCAAACATCGAATATTAACGTCGTGCCCAATAGTAACAACTGGAAACAGAAAATGTGAAGTGAAAGAATTGACAGGTTAATGACAATAAAAGTGAATGTAAAGGAGGGGAAATATTTATGTCTAGACTTCACAATGAAATAAAGAGTAAATTTAAAAGAAAGTGGCTACCTAAACTTACGTCATGGTAGAACTTTCTATTTCTACAGCAGGGTTGACTTACCTATATTTCTCAAAGAACCATAAAATCCACACATTTCTGGAATACACAGGAGGGAAATGGCTCTCCTTAAGATGGGCAAGTGTAGAGTTACGGTTTAATTCCTGGCTTTAAAACGGGCATTCCTGGCTAATTATTTCCTTGCAAGTCACGAACATTAAATAGGAATAATTTGACATCTTGCCAACTTTAAATAATTTATGGTAAATATCTTCAAAGAACTTAAATGGACTGTGAGAACTGCTCTTCATCTCTGATTATAGTTGTTTCCTTAATTGATTATTTGGGAAGTGACTAATCTTAACACTGGCTTTGGAAACAATGTAAATGAATATTTCTATGCATGGTCAAGGTGATTATACTTTCCTAACTTGGCTAAGAGAAATAGCTGAAGCATGTTTCCCCTATTAAAACCAACAGGCACTAGAATCTCACTCAGTAATTCTCCCCATTAGCATCTGTATGTGCATGTGCACTCTCCTTTCTACACTTTGCTCCAAAAATCAACAGGTGCCATTTAAAAACCTTTTTAATACAAAAGATTAAGTTTTCACTCTGAAAAACAAAATGAAGGGTTCATGTCATACTGAAAAAGATATGGTGGCATGTGGATGCTGATGCTGAATTGCAGTAACAGGCTTGGCTCTACCATGTTTACTGTTTTCTCCTTATTCAAAGATGGTGATGTTTTCAGAGATATCTTAAACCACAACCAACTGAAATAAGTTCTGCTGATATTAGAATTGTCTATGGACATCACCCACACCTAACATTAACTGAAATTCCTCTCTGCAGCCTATTTATCAGACATTAAAATTCCTGATAGTTAGGCTCTTTGCCCTTAAATTCCAAAGATGGTATTACACTCGCAACAGAGAAAAAGCCTCAGACAATTTGCAAGAAGCATATCACCCCTTCTTAGATTTCTTTCCTTTCTAATATTACAGGTTCACTTAGCTGTCACACCTTCGGTTAAGATGCACTGCTGAGAAGAGCCACTTTTATCAGATTAGTGTGTGCCTCTTCCTCCAAAAACAGTAGTATGTACTCAACTCTCAGCTGAATAATAAATATTTTTAATGTAATGATTAAAATTAATTACTTATTTTACTTGTTTAAGAAAAACTGATTGATATGCCTTCAACCTATGTGATGGTTAATTTTATGTGTCAACTTGGCTAGGCTATGGTGTCCAGTTGTTATGTCAAATACTAGACGTTGCTCTGATGGCATTTTGTAGGCGTGACATTTACAGTCAGCTGACTAGATTACCCACAATAATGTTGGTAGGCCTCATCCAATCAGCTGAAGGATTTCTGCCCCAAGACTGTAACACAGAAATCCTGCCAGAGATTCCAGCTTGTTGGCCTGCCTATGATTTCAGATTTGCCAAGTCCCCACACTGTGTGAGCCAGTTCCTTAAAATAAACCAATCCCCCCTAAACCCCATGTGTGTGTGCATTCTGATTCTCTCCCTCCTTCTCTCTCTATTGGTTCAGTCTTTCTGGAGAGCCCTGAATGATATATGGCAGTTCAAAGGGGGAAATATAACCATGCCACTGTAAAAGTAACAAATAGAAATAAAACCAAGCATTTCAACAATATACTCTTGAGTACCGACATACTCACAGTATTGACTGTGGCAAAAGATGGCACAGACTCTGTGGCACCCCTTCTAAGACGATCATCAGCATCTTAAGAGTATGCTTCTAAAATTCCAGGAACCTACTTCCTGAAAGCAGGGACCATATCTGTTCCTCAACAAAATGCCTTTGCCAGGCAAAATGCTTAATAAAAATTCTTGTATATTCTGACTAATTCTCTTCTAAACAATACTATGGTTTCTGCCAAATGCTTTCAATGAGTTGAAAACTCAAGGCATTTTTTAAATTTGGCCTGAATTTAGCCATAAGATAACCTTGCAGCCTTGTTCCTGCCATTCCCCTAGCCAGTCCCAGACCAAGCTATTCTTAGCATGTTTAGTTTTTTTTGAGTCTCCATTGCTACCTTGTAACTGATGGCCTGAGTTCCTGGAAGGCGAGGTGCATTTTCCCACCCAGCAGTGCCCAGCACAGCAGAGGTGCAGCACCCAACTGCCAGCTGCCGTGCCAGGAGGTGTGCTTGCAGCATGGGATCGAGCAGCCACTGTGACAGAAGCTGAATGTAATCATGCACTTTCAAGCTACTCAATTCAACTTCATTAAAATTTCATCATAAACTTGGGGTATAATGAAAGATTACTGAGATAAATAGCCACATGTATTTGACCACTGGCTGAAGCAGAGTCAATACTTGTACATCAAACAGGAAGACGTTGGTATAACTATGTGTCAATATAAAACTCATGGGGTCTGTGTATATGGGGTCTTATACTAAAAACATCTGGGTGTCCTTACTCTGGAATACTATTGTTTCTCTACTTCACTGCACAGTACAATCACCCGAGAGGCTTTAAAAACTCAAAACCAACCCTAGGTCCCATCTCACTCAGGGAATCTCTGGGGCTAGGACCTTGCTATCAGTATATTTTTTAAAAAATTGCTCCCAAGTGATTTAATACGTGGCCAGGGTGAGAATCACTGGACTACATGAATTTCATAGCCTTTACCAGGGTCTAGGCTAGGTCTGGTGTGCACCATGGGTTTCAGTACCTCTAGAACTAATGAAGCTGCAATTACAGGTGGGTTCTAGAAACATTACCATAGCTTATGGAAACCTGAGATTATAATTTCTCCCATGCTGCTGCTGTGGCTGAGCCATCTCCCTCCTGGCCGAATAATGAATGGGTATGCTAATTTAGTTATCCTTAAAATTTAACTTCATCAGGAAGATGGGCATCAAGAAAATAACATCCATTGCAGTAATTCATCTAAGAATGGGGAGTTACTCCTCAATACCTTTTCAGCTTCCTCAGCTGTGACGGAGCTTCCAGAGGCTTCATCTTTGGTGATAAGAGTAATTCCATCTAAAAAGTAATTCACAGAGTGAAATCCAAGCACAAAGAATCAGTCTCAATCCTAACTTCATTTGCACCCACCTCCCCTTCCTATCTCTGTACCAGAGATTTTTTTAAAACTATAGAAACGGTCTTCTCTATAAGAAATATGAAACTATAAAGATATTTAATTCATATTGTTCCATCTTACATATCCTTTCTCCTATTTTTCCTTATGTAAAAATAAGGCCACATCTCAAATGCTACCAGCCACATGAAACCCTGCTTGACTGCATCTCTCTGTTACAATTCTCACATCACTCTGTTTATCCCTTTGAAATGGCTCTCATCCTATCTTATCTTGTGTAATTATTTGTACCTACTTTCTCTCTCCTAGAGGACTATACTTTTCTTTAGGGCAGGGACTAGGTTTTTTTTTATTTATTCATCTTTATACTCCCTCAACATAGTAATAACAGAAGCTCAGTAAATAAATAGTCATTGAGTGACTGCATACTTTGGCCAATAAGCATCAGGTACCCAATATGGGCATCTGCACACTTGGACTTCTAGTAGTGTCATGGCTATTGACGGAATGGTAAGAGACCTAAGGTTGGAGGAAACATGCTTTTATGATGGCCATGACTATCATTTAGCACAGTAAACCAATTTTAGCTCAGTGACAGCACATCAAAGATAGAAAATCTACCCTTTAGTATTCTTCCTAAGATTTTCTTCTGCCTCAAATGGCTGATACATAATATACTTTCAAAAAAGCACATCCATTTGTACCTAGAAATGGCACAGGTCATGTGTATTCTCTCAGTAATATATAAGCTCTCAGAAAATATGTATCTTGTGTATGTTCTGTAAGTTTCTTTTTAGCAAACAATATGCTCGAGGCAATCAATAAATACTAAAACCAACTTCTTTTATCTACTAGGTTGGCAGCAAGCAGAGACACACAAGTTGATTTGAGTAAGCCCCACTCACCAACCTATTCTAATTGCTTTTGCTCCCCAGTGTAGAAGCGAAAGGGTTGAAAAATTAACTGTCAGGGAAATGGTTGCCTGTGATGAAAAGCTGTCTGTTAGAAGCTGGACAGATAGGTATGTAACTAACTCCTTTATGTAGAAATTGCACAGAAAGAGGCTGAAACTAATTGTGGGGCTCTACTTCAAGTGAAGAGTTCCATACTTTTCAATTGCTGTTTTTATAATATGTGTTTTATACAGATAATATTTTATACTTGGGTTCTGAAAGAAGATCAAGTTGTAAAAACATGGGCAAAGGGCACGGAGGAAATCAAACACTGAGACTAAAGCTAAAACAGTGTATGCTGCTTGCTTTGCAGGTTGTACTTGCATCAGTCACTTTAAATCAGTGAGGACCTGAGTGGCTTTGGTGAAGACTGGTCTGCTGATAGGAAAAGTCTAAGAACACGGCAATGAAAGGTAGCAGGAGGGCAAAGTATGGGCGAGGTCAATGAAATCACTGTGGATCCAGCAGGCCTGAGAAGGGCTAAGAATACAAGAAAAGGGGCATTGCCTGTCCACAGGACTTCCTTCAACAAATAGAAAGGCACAATCTTGGAAATAGGTCACGCTGCACAAGAAGTCTAAGGTGGGACATGTTTACTTACTATTCATTCTTTGTATTTATGCTTTTTAAGCAAGATTTTTAGTTCACTGAATCCTGAGCATTTTCTAAATCCACATGGAGAGCCCTCAGGTCACCAAGTGTCACATAAAAAAATTTACATTTAGAAAAAACAGCATAAATATTTGGAGAAAATGACAAATGACACCTTACCCTGAACGACAATTTCCCAGAAATGATTTAATTGTTTAATTTCCACTTTCTCTCGAAGGGTTTTCAGGAAATCATTAAAGCGCTGTTCTTCCGAAAACTGTGGTGGCATGTGGGGGCAGAGGAGGCGGCAAGTCAGAGAAATACAGAGACGATTCACCGCCCCCAGACCAAAGGCCTGTGTAAGCTGAATCCACCATATTAATAAAGAACACATAATATGTTCTTTTTTGGTAAATGAGAAACTGGCATTTCAAATCTCAGCTTTGTTTGCTGCAAACTAGAAATCCTTCCATCTGTGAAAGGTACACAACTTCTCAGAGCCATACAGTATTTTTGGTGGTCCAGGACTTTGTTTTCTAACCTTTAATATAGACAAATTCAAACAAAAATAGAATAATTCAGTGAATGCCCATGTACCCATCACTCAGCTTCAACAATTATCAGCTCAGCCAGTCTTGTTTCTATGCCTTTCCTTCTCCAAAAACACTCAGAGGATTTTGAACAAATGTCAATCATATTATTTTACTTATTAAATACTTCGGTATACAATATTTAAAATATAGAAACTTTTTTAAAAATACAAAAAAATTCTTTAATAGGAGCAAATAACCAGTCAGTATTCACATTTTTCCAATTATAAAATGCGTTATTTTTTACATTTATAAAGAGTCTCTGCATTAAGATTGATGGGTATTTCTTAAATCTCTTTTGATCCTCCTCCATCTCTCTCTGTTTTTTTTTAAAGAAATCTAGTGACCTGGTACTTTCAAGGACATGTGGTGGCAATAGTGCACAGCAGTATTATCAGACATTCCATTTGCCTGAGGCAGTGCTAAAAAAGCAATACATTTCACTACTTTTTTCCATCTTATCAAATCTTTCTCCACCTGACTGAATCATCCTTAGTCTTACACTAACTCTGCCAAAACTTTGTCTTTTGTCTCTAGGGCATTTGGATCACCTATTCTCAATCTTTTATTCCATTCTAATTTTAACATTTTCTCACTTTCTTATCATCATTCTTTATAAGTACCTAAACAATTCAAGGATTTGTTCACTCATTCAGCAAATATTTACTAAGCACCCCATAACTAACATACACTACAACTGTGCCTACTTAAAATATCCTTTCTAATTTAAGCTTGCTCACTGTTGCCTACAGTTTATGTATAAAGGCCTAGAAATAATTTGGAAGATTTTTAGAAGTGTTTTCTAAAATTCCTAATAAAAAAAACAAAACAAAAAACCCACACAAAAGGTGGGGGATAGTGGTACTGAGTAATTAATTTTTAGTGTCCTTTTGTGCCCTGGCATTCAGATCCCTACTCCTGTTCTCAAAAAATCCTTCTCAAAATAATTACACCAGTATATATTTCCATCCATTTCCTTAAAATAGTTAGTACACCTTTACAATAATGACTGGGTCACCAAAGGTTACAGATTTCCCTGGTTCCCTAAATAGAAATCACATAGCTGGGGCTAGAATGTAACAAAAAGCTAACTTCCAAGGGTAAAATGCACCCATCTTCATTCCCCGTCTCCCCCCCACCTCCCCCGGAGAAATGACACTGATAGTAAAAGAGTCAGTCGTTTCTACTTCTCCTGGCGTGTCACTGCTATTCACAGTGAGGATGATTTCTTCCAAAGCCCAGGCTTACTTGTGGGGTGCTGTATACCTCTTCCCTGTGGTGATGGCCCACTGGTTAGGAAGAGGAGACATTACCTGAATGGCTTCTTCCCGGAAGGCTCTGATGCAGTCCATGCTCTTCATAAAATACAGTGTTCCGTTAGTATCCAGAAACTGTTCTATGTGGTTTGTTAGCTGCTGACTCGCTAGAATGTAAGAGACAGTAAGTTTATTTTCCTCAATTTGAGTGATGCTTGTTAGAGAAAGTGTAGCTCTTCTGTGTGTCTGTAAGTGTCATGATTGAAGAGCCTTTAAGGCCAGTATGCAGAAAAGCCACTCTTCCTCTAGGAAGGTGGAAGGAAAAGGGAGATGACATGCAAAATGCTGATTCCAAAAGTCTATCTTTGAAAAATTTGGGTAATACTTAGTGATATTTGTCGAGAAACAAAATTTAATTTCTAAAATGCTTAGAGTTACAGCTAAATGCTCCTTTTGGGATTTTAAACATTAAGGGTTTTTTGGTTTTCTTTTGGGGGGGTAATTGTTATTGCTTTTTATTTTGCCCTCAGAATTTTGGGGCCATTTGGGTAATTCAAAACTGCCTTTCCTGATGAAGTCATAGGAAATAGTTCCTCTAATCCCTCCCCTAATTCCATTCAGGATAAATGTCCAACAGTGCCAGACAGTGAAAAGTAGTAAGGCAGGGACAGCCATCTTCTACCAACCCAGGTCAAATTAGGAAAGACCAGCCCTCATCTTAATTTAATAACAGCCCTTTAGAATGAGAAATCATTGCTACACATCTTTTGCCCTTAGCTGAACCACATACTCTCTACATCGCTCAGCACTCTACAAACCACAGAAAGAACACTTAATAAACAGTAACTGTCAGCAAGCAACGTCATAAATGGTACAGAAAGAGGAAATAACAGGAATAATGTTACTATTTCCAAGATGGGCTGCAACCTGAGGCTGCCTCACAAACAAATAATTTTTCAGTATGAACAAAAAGCAGAGGAAAATGGAAACAAAGTCATGTGAGGATGTAAGCTGCTGAGCAGGTCAAAACTGACCCTTACCATCTTTGCAGAAGAACACACCAGGGAAATGTGCACATCCATGGGATAAAGGCTCACTCTCAACATGCCCCCTGAAATCACTCACTAAGTGGCTGTTTGGCAACTTACGCCAAATGGTCAAGATATGCTAAGAGTTCAATATGCTATTCTCATGGCCTCATCTAGGCATTCTAATAGAGATAAATGTGTGTGCACACACTGATGAAAACTACTTTTAAAGCTTAAGGCCATGAACTATATCAGTGCCCTGTGCACGGCTCCATGCTTTATGAAAGACATCAAACTCAGTGCCATCAACTTATTTCCTAAGGATCTTGCAGCAAGTGGAAAGGATTAAAAAACCGAATGAAATATTTTCTAATATTATAATTTTGCAGAAAGATAAAAATATTCCCAGTAACCATTTCATCTCTTCTACTAACCAAGAGATTATGATCTCTAGTATACTAAAGTACTTAACAAACTTGAGGGATTAAAGAAACACTTCCCTGCAATTTCAGAAATCTTTACCAATGTATCCTGCAGCAGAGAATTAATATCCACCAATAATTCAAAGGAGAAAAAGAATGTTCAGATGGGTCTTTTTAAACAAGGTAAATAATACAACCCTGATTAGTAGGCAGAGCAGAAAACCCACAAGAAGCTCCAAGCAATGGACACTATCTCCCTTTTTCAGCTTGGAAAGAAATGTTTAGTATTTCCTATACCACTTTCAGCAGCCTGTTTCCTCAGATAGTTTGATACAAAATTTGCTCAGAGTTATATATCTGGGTACAAATAAGAGCCTTTACAGGCAGTAATTCCACAGACTCCAGGTTTTTCAGTTCTTTTGAAATGAGAATAAGGAATCTAAGCAAGCTATAATGTAAATGTTTCTTTTTGCTTGATTTAATGCTAATTTAAATTAATTTAACTTAGTATATATTTACTGTGTAGCTATGACATGTACGACACTATGCTATGCTCTGTGGAAGACACAATTAAGTTGAACATCCTTGCCTTTGAGGAGTTTACAGGGAACATATATGTATACAAAAATAATAATAGGAAGTAACTGTGAAGAAGACTATGAGTGGTATGGAAATATTTCAATTGATCTAAAATTTAAATCTTTGGTAATCGTAAGAAAGTTTCATGAATTAACATGGCTTTTTAGCTGGGCAATGAAAAACATAATTTGGCCATATAGCAGAAAACAGAATGCGCAAAAGCATGGAGGAACAGAGATGGGAAAGGATAGGGTTATGTTTGAAGTAGAGCAAATGGTCCAGTACACCAAGTCCATGGACAGGAGTAGGGCAAGAAAAAGAGTAAAAATCAGACAAGAGAAGGTCAGAAGGGAGTTCCACGAAGAAAGACCAGTATGTGTGAGGGTTCTGAGGCGAGACAGAGCTTGGCTCCTTTAGCAAGTCTGGGCAAAAAGGGTTCAAGAACAATCTTTTAAGGAACTACAACATTTAGAGGCTGGACAGAAGAGGGGGAGCAGACAAAGGAGGCTAAGAGGGAATGGTAAGGGAAACAGGAAAAAGCCCAGGAGGCTGTGGTATCTCAGGTACAAAGAGAAGGGGTTATTTAAAGAGGAGAGATGTGTACTGCGTCTAGACTATTACATAAAGACTGCATGGAAAAATGTATGAAGAGCAGAAGGAATTAAGGACTGAAACTTAGGGAGTCCTTAGACCTGGGAGCCCATGAATCAACTAAATTGGTACTGAATAGCTTTGCAAAACACATAGCTTCCTGACGCATTTTATCTTGACATATGACACACACATGTGCACACACAGTTGCCATCTTAGAGAATAATATTCCAGAGACTAAATCAAAGCAAAAGGAAAAGCCCACAGTCCATAAGCAGTAATGATACGGGAAAGAAGGGATACAAAAAAGAAGTAGGAGTCTCATTTAACAACGAAGTCTTTATGTATTTGTGGGCCTATTTAGATCTAGTTTTCTTATTTACATATAAGAATCTTCTGTGTTTACCAGGGACACAGGTAGATAAGCATATCCAAACTTCCAATAAATTCAATGAATACCAAGAACCAGATTTTGCCCCTCTAGGAATAATCAGTTACATGGCCTGTGCATCTGGCCCGTGATCTGAAATCTGTCCCTCTGTCTAGACTATTTTGTGGTTCACCATCATGAACCTTTGAACACTAGCAAATAGCTATGATAGATGATGCTTTAATACACTGAGTATCAGAACGGGTTGTGGACAAGAGACATCCCTGCGATTTTTAATAACAGTAAAATATAAAAGTGACTGACAAAAATAATATTCTACTTTGGCTGGATTATGCTTTTGACTTGCCCTACCTCCCCAACCCACACGCTGGAAATGCTCCTTATCAGGGTGCTCTTCTCTGCTTCCACATCAGTAACAGGACTATGAATGGCCTGGCAGTCTTCAGACTCAGTAAATCATAGTCCCAGTTATAATTCACCAAAATGCTTCTCAGAATTAGTCAGAGACTCAATAATACTCATTAATAGCTAAGATAAAAAATGACCATTGGAAGGACCATCTATCTTAGGATACTAAGTCAGGCAAGGGCCGTCATTTGTCTCAAGGAGTCTCAAAATCAAAATGTCTGTTTTGGATTTTGAGGATTTAAATATGAACATTATATATTAACCCATCATCTTATATAAGGACTATTTATAACAAAAAATTAGTTTCAATACAATTTTAGTGTTATATTAAAAATACAATCCATATTCAGAAGTGTATGTAAGAGGAAAATGGCAGAGTTCTTGTTTAATCTGAAAAGTATTTTCTCCCTCCCTAGAGAACACATTCAACACCATCCAAAGTCCTCTAAAATGAATCACCTCCCTTAATGTACAGTCACTAGGGCCAAAAACACCCAAGGCCATGTGCTTGTCAGTCTCTGACTTTATATTTACTTACTACCCTCTGTTCTCTGCAAAGATGTTTCCAACAAAGTAAAAAGAAGTCATTTATTGTGGTGATTTTTCCCTCCATCAGATGGAGCCAAAAAAGCAGTAGGTTCACTCATCTGTCACACATTATATATACAGGATGGTAAGACCATCTCAAATGACTTTGCGGAACCCAGGCATCATTCAAGATGTTTCCCAATTTAATCCTTCTCACTATCTCAACACCATGTGAATTTTACTTATTTAACAGGTGCACATTTTGCAGATGGCAGCAGTTAAATCATTAAAAAATTTTAAGAACAGATTTACATAGTCAACAACAGAGGCATCTTTATAAAACAAAATTAAAAAGTGACAATAAAATCAAGCACCTAAATAAGTATATGGTCAGGTCAGTCATTAAAAGAATAAAAGAATGTCTATCAAAATAAAACTCTAAGCAAGTCATCTAGTCCGCCACCAATTAAATCCATGTGTAAATTACAATCAATGTTTTAAGCCAGAAACTTACAAGAAACATTTTGCCTGATAAAAAAATGAGTGTTTTAATATAGGCAACTAAAACAGAAAGGTCATAAAGAGCCTTCCTTAATGTCTCTTTAGTGGAAGGCATAATTAGTCATTGTGGGTAGAGGCTATGAATATATCAGGGTCCAACCAGAAGAACAGAAATCACTCTGAATATTTAACACAGGAAATTTAATGCAGCGATTGTTACACAGGTGCTGGAGAGCTGTAAAGTCCACTAAGAATGGCCCTGAAACCCACAGATTAGGAACAGTAGGAAGCCCTTTGCACCCCCTGGCAGTGTGGGAAAACCAAGAGAGAACAGCAGTGTTACCTAGAGCTCACGGGGCCTGCCTGTCCAAGGGGAGCCACAGCCATGGAAGACTGGAGATGGTGCCCAACAAACACAGGGAGAAAGAGAAATGCCCTGGCTTCACACGCCCTTCGCCTCTCATTGGCTGTACCCAGGTCAGAAGCCAGCAGACCTGGGGGCCAGGGAAATGCAACGTGTGGGGGGCTAGCTCTGCTCCACCCTCCCCCTGGGGCACATGGGGCAAGTGGGAGGAGGGGATATCTAAGGGCCACCTGGCCCAGTGTGTTGATATGAACCACAGAGACGGATGCCCTATTTTATGCCCTGGATATGTCCAGGAGGTGGAAATTAACAAAGTATCATTTCATTTAAATAATAAGGGAATATAAAATATGTA